ATATATATATATTCTTTTTTCATAATCTGTCTCTCAAATATGTCACAATATGGAAGAAAAGATCAATATGTGTGTCATTACCAAATGTTGCCCTATACCTTAGCTCTGAAGTCTTGATCAGTTACAAAACAAAATGCACTTTGGCATCACTGAAATCTAATCAACATAATGTTTATAATATGCAATTGTGATCTGAGGGCAAGACTTAAGTGAATATCCTAAATTTCAATTTACACATATATTATTTTCATGTTGGCCTCTTTAATGCTACTTTTATGTTTTTAGCTTCACAGCCTTTTATTGTATGGCAAAGAACATTGTGAACAGCCTCCAAAATATATTCTTTTGTGTTTCACGGATGCAATAAAAGCATGTAAAGAATGACATGAGGGCCAGCTAAGGAAGACAGAATCTAATTTTAGTTTGAACTACTAAAAAGCATTTACTTTTCATGTCACTTTTCAGCTAAATCACTCACCACGGCAGCACCTGATTTTACAACTATGATTTCTAAGAGTCTTCAGACAATGGAAATACAAACAACCATCGCTCTGGTCACAACAGCCCTGCCTCTGGACCCGCGTACACATAAGGAAAATACTGGGACTGGCACCTCTCAGCCTGTATTCAATCATGTAAAACATTAACATTTATGTCTTTTTCTTATATATTGTTGATATATATATACTTATATACTTCCTGCTGATCATGTTGATTTTCTCTTCTGCAGAATTCCTTTGATCTAAGCAGCAGCAGTAAGGTGAGTACATGAATGACAAAAACATCTATCAATAAAATTTCTATTTTTTGTTCTACAAAGATTTCTGTCACTGATCCCCAAGGGTCCCCTTACATTCATTTTCCACTGAGATGACAGGAAATACTGTATCATCCCTTTAAAAAAGTGCATGTTTTCATCAGGTGGAAGATATCAAGATATCAATATCAAGAACCTCTATAAACTCTGAATGTTTAAAGACATTGTTAAATAATAGTAAAATCAATCACAAAACTAAGGAAGCCTGTTTCCACCACACAATAACAAATAAAATAGGTAATTGTGAATAACCTCAAAATTCATACTTTTTTTCTGCCGAAATTTTGAGTTTATATCTTATTTTTTCCCAGAAATGCAAGATAACATCTTACAACTTTTTTTCTCAGAAATGCAAGAAAAAGTCAGAATTGAGAGACCTAAACGTGCAATTCTAACAAGAATTGCGAGATGTTATCTAGCAATTCAAAGAAAAGTCGAAATTGTGAGACAAACTCGCAATTGCAAGATGAAAAGTTGCAATTAGCTTTTTTTTTATTCTGTGAAAAAAAGAAGAATTGTGAGTGAATTCAGAATTCACAGGAAAAAAGTTAGAACTGCAAGATGAGAACAAGTCAGAATTCTCAGTGTATACTTTTTATCTCACAATTCAGATCAATCTATTAAATGGAGCCAGAAAACATTTCTTGGCCAACAACAGTATGCAAAGTGACCGACTTCACAAAACCTAGATTCTCCTTAAAAATGATCAAAACATGAAGCCAAACATGAAGTGCTACCATTTTAATATTTGTTTTGTTTGACCAGGGGAACGCCGTGCGTGAAGCCTGTAAGACGCTGGGTCAGAAGATGAAAGGAAATTGCACGGTGATCGTGGAAATTCACGACAAACGTTTAATTGCAAAAGTTACAATAGATGGTGAGGGAAATGCTACGGCTTCCGAACAGATTAAACCCTCATAAGGAGGAACCACTGGATTCAGTGCTTGCCATATTGTGTTCGGTTATCAATACAACAACAATAAAATATTTTATAAAATGTATAATAATTCACTTCATTTTCCGTTTACAGCTGATCAAAAGATACAGCCAGAAAACTACAAACCTCCAGAACAGGTCAGTGGATATACAGACAATAATACTTTGCAGAAAGAAGATGTGAGCAAGGACACGATACCAGACATGTTGATCGCCATCTTGGCTTCTTGTGGCGCTTTGGTGCTCATTCTGTGCTGCTTTGCTGCGTACTGCACTTATCATCGCAGATCCTACAGGAAGAACCAGGTAATACTCAATTCCAAACACAAAGATGAATCAGATGTACTCGCATTGCTCGATTCGGGCCCTACTTTCAATAAACTTGTATATGAATGTTCTGAATGATTCAAGTAAAAGTGTTATGCTGTTTAACATCCCAACATGCACTTTTACCTCAGCAGCAACACCTGACGGAAGAGCTGCAGACAGTGGAGAATGGTTATCATGACAATCCCACGCTGGAGGTGATGGAGGTACAGCCGGAGATGCAAGAGAAGAAACTGGCATTGAACGGGGAGTTCAACGACAGCTGGATCGTCCCCATGGACAACCTGCTGAAAGAGGACATACCTGATGAAGAAGACACCCACTTGTAATGGCACCGGATGAGCTGTCAGGAGAGAGAAACCTGCTGCTCTCATAACGGTGGATGGTGAACGGACAGAATGTAGAGAAAGCAGAGACTGACATAAAGACTATCAAACATCAGTTGCTTTCATTTGGTGCCTGGGTGTACATGCTGTAAGTAGGTAGTTAAATGCTAAGTATGTGCTAGAAATAGAAGAAAAGTTTCAAGTTTTGTGTGTCACTGCGTATGGGAAAAGGAACATTCTGTAAATGGAACGTCAATGCATTCCATTTTCTTCCAATCTATAGCCTCTCTTTGTGCCTTAACATTTTTTTTTATCACACTTAGATGTTTCAAAACCAATAGTTTTCTAATAAACAATTTGATGAGCATAAAATATATAACAAACATTGGCTAAAATATCCCATTTTTAATTTAAAACTGAATTAAAAAAAAAAAAAGAATTTAGATTTTCCACTGCAATGCATTTTGGGGACTGCATTCTCTAAATGTGAAGCTGCCTTAGAATTTGGCCAAAATAAGGCATACATTTCACTGCCTTTGCATTAGGAGTGTGCTTTATGGTGCCTTAAAATGTTATCAAGCAAAGTCAAGTTTAAGTTTCACATGAAAAATGACTCAATTTTTCTCTAAAGTGATATATATATTCAGGATTCAAGTTCACAGTTTCTAACCAGTGAATTTCCATGATTTTCCCATGAACTTTCCAATCAAAGTTACAAATGCAAAGTTGTTTCTACCAGATAAAAGTGAGCATAAATTATTATTATTATAGAAATTTACATCACTTTTCCCATGAATTTCTGAGGCCCAGAAAACACATCTAGGACTGTGGGAACCTTGTATTATTTCCTGAGAGGAATTATAAGTTGCGCTTGTATGCAATGCTTATTTCTATGCTTCTTCCACAATTTGTTTGTTTTCTGTTTAGGGAAGATTAACTCTCATAGGCACCAAATTACGCTTTGACCAATGGATAATTCATCCTGGTAAATTAGACTATGGGTCAAAAGTATGTGACCCCCATCACTGGCAGATAACTTTTTCATTATGTTCCATCTGTGTTGGTCATCATACCAGTATGAAGGTTTTCATTCTCGTCAACCTGAAACATTTGACACTAAATCCAACACAACTCACTTACATTCTTTAAGTTTAGTTATAGGTATAAAAGAATGTGTCATTGTCTTTAATCAGAATTTTCAGTTTAGTGCATTGATCACCTTTTTCTTTGGGGATGTTTTATTTAACTGTTTTAATGCTGATTTCACCAAAACATTTTTTTTTTTTAAATTGTATTTACATGCATTACACAAATTTTCAATATAAGGGATTCACTACTGTTTCCGTTTAGCTGTTGTACTTCCACCAAAGTGTTAAGGTTGAATTTATAGTTGTATTCTGTATTTGAAGTCAGTTTGCTGCTGTGTGCAAACGACAGGGGTCTGATACACTGGAAGCTGCATCTCTGTCAGATTTCTAATATAAATAAATACATTTTTTTCTCAGATAGTTGACATGACATGTCGAGGCACTTCATCTTAAATGATAACAAAATGTGTATACTACTGTTCAAAGGTTTGGGTTATGTAAGATTTTTAAATGGTTTTGAAAGAAATTTGTTCACAAAAGTTAATTAAAAAAGTTAATTTAGTGAATTTATTCCTGTGATGCAAAGCTGAAATTTCAGCATTCATTACTCCAGTCTTCAGTGTCACATGATCCTTCAGAAATTGTTCTAATATGCTGATTTGCTGCTCAAATATTTCTTACTATTATCAACTTTTAAAATGGTTGTGCTACTTAATTGTACTATGGAAACCATTACACTTTTTTTCAGGATTCTTTGATGAATATATTTTTTGTACTATTTTGATCAATGTAATGCATCCTTGCTGGGGGGGGTGGGGTGGGGACATCCAGTTACAGCACCTAAAAAAACCCAACAAAAATAAATAAATACATACATGTATAAATAAAAATATTAATATCAATTTTAACCTTAAATCTAAATTATTAAAAGGTACCTAAATTGTCAACACTTTACAGCTTTACAAACAAGCAAACAAACAACTGTGGTAACATCTCCAAGATGACTTAAGAAACTTACCTATAAAAATGCTGTTAATTGAGGATGCTTTCAAAAATAATGTCATAAATACATTTTATTGATCAGTTAACTTCTATTAACTACATCAAATCAACATTTGGTGTGACCCAACCTTTGCGTTTAAAACAGCTTTTGTCCTAGGTACACTTGTGCATCGATTTCAGGTAGCTTTGCATCTTGGAGACGTTGCAACAGTTCTTCTAGATTTAGCCAGCCTCAGTTTTTTCTGATTCTTCATGTCATTCCAAACAGAATAGTGAGATCAAATCTCTGTGCGGAGCACTGGCTGTTGTCAGATTCCTTGTGCATACAAAAATCTTACTCAATTAATGGCAAAAAGAATGTTTGGAAATGTAAACTGATATTTCCTACTGACACACTACAGCAAAAATAGAAATAATTGGCTTAAAACCATTTTTTTGGTTGGTGAAAATACTAATGGGCTAAAAATGCTGAATGTTTTTATAGGTCTATGTTAAAGGAAGACCAAGACCATATTTAAGAAAACTTGAACAAAATACAATCTTTATTCTTTATGTACATTACATACAATGCAGTTCTTTAATAGGTTCTACACATTCATGAGAGCCACAGTGTAGTGCTGACATCTCAATGTGCCCTCGCTCAAGAGCAGAGGGGGGCTTGACGAGATGAGGATTTCCAGGAGAGAGGAAAAGAAAAAGTCATTTCATCTCTGACACTGCAGAAATGTACACTTCATGAAGCAAGAAAACGTATTTGGCACAAGTGTGACAAAAAGTCTCCGGTTTTAAGTGTCGATCCTCTCATGTATCCTTGATTTCATTGTTTTCATACTTTTTTTTTGTTTTACTTTCTTCCTGACATAAAAACACTGCTAGAGCTACGAAAGGCAAAGTAAGCCCTGGATTCCAAATCATTTACACCCGAATTGCGTTCACGCCAGGAAAGAAATAAAAGAGCACTGAATCTTTATAAATCACAAACAAGTCAAACTTCCACACTCCAGTGCGCCGTAAGAGCCAAATTACAGCTAATACTGAGTTCAGGGAATTGAGATACGACACTTGGGAGGACACAATCAGCAGGGTGAAGCATAATGTACTGTCCCATGGTTCTTTGAGCCTTTGGTTTCTGCATGGGTGAAGCCAAAACTACAGCAAATTTAAGAGTGATCTAATTACTGAATTTTATTTTTTTTTTGCAGGGCAAGTACTTCCTACTCGTGCACAGGGAGACAAATAAATATAACTGCTGTTAAACTAACACTGCACAAATGGAGACCAAGTTATCCAGATGTATGGATGAACTATATGGAAGACTATCATCCAACACACTTTCATCTGTCCAGAATTGTAAACAATCCGGAAGCTCATACGGAATGAAGGGCACATATAGACGTCTCTATGACATCATAGAGAGAAACAGAACATAAGATATGACATTCAGGGCTCAAGTTCACCAAGAAATAATAATATTAATAATAAATAGTGAGGGGTCTCTTCTGTCTTCGGTGGTCCCAATAAGGCTCCTTTGAGTTGGTACCAGTAAGCTGAACAGTCTGTGTAACAAAGCAGTATGAACTGGACAAAAGCAGCCACAAGCTACACTTCAAAAATTCAAATCATCCACATCTTCTGTTTGTCTAATTGCAGCAAAGTGTTCGTTCATCTATTCACTAATGGATACAAGTATAATGACCTGTTATAAAGTAAGTGTTGCCATGAATGATCATGTGCTACTAATATTTGCGTTCCTACACACACAGTGGAAAACAGTTCTTGTGTACCTAAATGTGTGCATTACACCTCAAACATGCCACTATAGCAAATCTAACCTTTTAAAATTTGTGGATGAGAACATATGGAATCGGGTGTTTCATCACTATTAAAGAGTCAAAGAGAGCACTAATGTCATGGCAGCATCCAATAGCAGCAGCAGGTTTAGATGGAAGCCAGTATTTAAATCCAGGATTGAGAGTGAACAGAATTGATCTACTAGAGTGAGAAAACTGACTCTAGAAGGCACTCTGATCTTTGCCTTCGGCCTCCACTGGATGAGCGCACATATGTTCGTCCATAAAAAATGTGATTTAAAATAGCAAGGCAGAACGGAACCCTTGTTGATCACACAGTTCATAAATCAAAACCACCCCTTTATGATAACTCACCTATATTTCAACCTGTATGAAAGAAAATGTAAATGATAAAACTGAAACAGATTTGAAACTAAGCAGAAGTTTGTTTAAAATAAAAAAAAAAGAAAATTCAGTGTGAAATTTGGCAGATATGCAGATTTAAACCTAATTCTGACACCTTTTTAAAATTAAAAATTAAAAAAAGCACAACCGTTGGCAATCCAGAGTACAAAATTATATTTCTGCATTTTAAATAAGTCTCAGTGACGTTTAAGTGCCATTACTTCTATAAGAGGCAAAACAGTAGGTGGGCACGGCACACCTCGGGTGAAAAATGTAGAAAAATAACTTCTGTTTTGGGTGGGAGGAGTCTGAGAGGTCTAAAGAGGGGTGTGATCTATTGTGTAGGGCGTGACTACAGGGTGATGAGTTCAACAAGGTTACCCTTGGGCGGGGTCATATTGTCTGGGAAGAAATTGACAAGCGTGTCGAACAGCTGTGTGCGCTGGGCGTACGTCTGATCCACATCTGAAAAGCCTGTCATGAAAAAAAATCAATATTAAGTATCAAAGCACTAATGAATATATTTGAGCAGACTCTGTGCTGATATTCAGTTGTAGTAAAAGAACGTGATTAGAGGACAATTGTGTTCATCAAAAAGAGTGCTCACCTAGAGGAATGAAGTCTGAGCTGGATTTGAACAGAGCAGAGGGCAAGAGCTGGAACTACAGGAAACAAACACACAAAAAGCACATTCACTTATGAAACATGTATTGGGCCTAGTCAGACTCGAGCATTTACACGATACTTTGCTTCAGTCCAACTGAAATCAAACTTTTAAAACTCATGTAAATGCGCAAACTGACAACTGCAAAAGTTTAAAGGTTTGTTATCTACAAGCTTAATCATAAAATGTAA